ACCCTGGCCTGTAATTAATTTGTCAAATCGATATAGGTTAAATAGTTTAAAACAGTGATTGTTAGAAAAAATAATTTTTAGAATATTATACTTCGTAATAAAACGGTCGCATTTTACTATAAGGTTTGTGAACTTTTTATTTTTAACAAGGTTCTGATGAAAGTCTTTATGATACAAACAATTTTAACAATGTGTAATTAAACAAAAATAAAGTGTTTACAAAATTAATTGGTACTTACCGACTCGGACTACCGCAACACACAATACGAAAAATTTCGCAACACAATGCCAACACATCTTCATTTTCGTTATTTTATTCGCTATTCACAACACAACTATTGCAAAGCACCTAGTTTAGAAATATTATGCACATTTTGTCCAAAGTTTTTCCCACTGTCCATCAAAAAAAGTTTTTATTTCATATTTTTTAAGTCACAACACTGGCCACAATTTTTAAGAATAATATCCACACAGTCTCTATTGTTTTTAAAAAGTTTTAATTTGTTTTTCAAAATGTAATTACGCGATCGTAATTCGAACAAGTTTTGGCGCGAAGCGGACGTTCGGCACGCACGCGGTTCAAACTCTGAATGAGTAAAGGCATGCACACACCGTTGGTGATCGACCCCACCGGAACCACAGTCGGTGGACGCGCGACTGCCGACTCCATGTGCACCGCACCGAAACGCGCCTTAAAACTAACTTTTATTTGCATTCAATACAACTCTATGCTTTAGTCATTAAAGGTCATTTCACATTTGCATTTTTTAAGTTTGTGCAGCAATGATAATATTCGTAGTTTTGTAGAGCGTACGCGCATAGAAAAGCACGTCCCCTATTGTTATTGTTACGGAGGGCGATTGGAAAAACAATGAGGTGAAGTAAAAAACTAAAGGACAGATAAAGATTTACGCACTGCACAGGAATGTTGACATTTTTGCGCTACAAATCACTATTTTGGCATGACGTCATAATTTAATAAAAGTTCAAACAGGTATTTTGTAAAGTGTGTTTATTTATTATTTTTTGGTAGGCAGTGAATTGTTACAATACTTTTAATAGTCTAGATTTAAAATCTTTAAAAAAATTACAGACACCGAAATAACATTATGTAAGTAATTAATAATTTATTGTTCTAATAATGTAGTTACAACCGTAACAATAGCTGTTTACCTACTTAAAGTTAGGTAAAGTACGTGCTACTGAATAAAAATAACATTCATAATGTCTCTGTAAACTGAAATATTCACTGTATTCCTTAGATTAATAAAACCTAGATGGATAGTCTTCATACAAACGCTTCGTCAAGAGTGAGGCAAAAATCTTATGTCATTAGTGTCAATTTTGTTGGGGAGTGTAGACAGTGAAGGCGATTTTCCCGAAAGTAGGGAAAATTTTAATACGTTTTTAATTATTTTATAACTAACAAAAACAAAACGCATCATGTACTTACTTATTTATTGAATTCAAAGTACCTACCTAATTACAATAAGATAAATCGACTGAAAAGTCTCGATTTCATAAAAAAGGAAGTGTATTTGTACGGCGAACAATTGGGAAATAAATTTTCTTGTTACTGGTATCATTCCCGTATTAAATTTTTGAAAGCCAAATTCAAGCAAAATACGCGTCGAATCGTAATACTTACTTATGAAATGTAACACTGGTCACTTTCTTTAGTTTTTCTGATGTATTTAGACACCCTTTCACAGCACAAACCGTCTTAATTAATTAAAAGTCGTCGGACGTGTTTACCAATTTTTCACTTTGACAGTTCATGTGACGTTTACGAGTAAGCCATTCTGGCTTACTAAAATCTGCCTCACCTTTCGTGCACTGACTATCTATCTAGGTTTTATTAATCTAAGCTGTATTCACATTAAAAACATTTCATGTCCTTCAAATTTAAATTAGATAACGTGCATTATTATGTATTATTATACATCATAATATGTAAGATAATTTATCACAATTACAAAAACAATCTTTATCAGTTTCTCAAATAGAAATAACGGCTTGTTAATGTTATAACTGATTGTTTGACACGATTCTCATCAAATACCTACGATAAGCCGAAGAGTATCAAATAATTAGTAAAAATATCACAAAAATATTTTGTGCTGAAGATTATTTATTATTCGCACCGAAACACGCGAAGCTAATTTAGAAAAATCGTGGGTTGATATAATAGGTACCTACCTTCTTATTTATCCCTATTTTGATACGGCTTTCCTGTCCTAGTTTGCCGTTGTCTGATCTCTATATTGTAAGTACAGATTTATAACGTAACTACTGATCCACTTAAGATTTTTTTTGGCCAACGAAAATACACAAGTAGGAAGGTTCAAACAGAGATTCGAACCCGCAACCAACCCAAACGGCCGTTGATACGAGGTACCTATTACCCAATACTCCTGATTTTCAAAAGCATTCGTCTCAAAATGAGTCACCGATTCACTCTAATCTGTGCACCGATTGCAGTTTACCGCAAAGGCGCGAATTAAATATTGATGAGCGAACTTTAATTAAAAATCGACTGCTCTGCTTTTCGCTCAATCTATTCCAGCCCACAATATTTCGCTTGCTCGTAGCCTGATAGCGCTGAGTACCGAGGCGTTGGTTACTTTTACAACTTGAAAAACATACCATCGAATTAAGAACCTCCTCCTTTTTTTGAAGTCGGTTAAAATATTTTTACTCTTGGAGCTAACGTCTTTCCATATAAGGTAGTAAAAAAAGTATTATACGATACATAAATAGTGCCGAGTAGTAATACGAAAGTAACTCTCAAACCCGAAACAAATATTAAACAAACAGTAATTTATACACACAGCCAATGTTCAAAAGTTAACGAGTCACCTAGGTAGCCAATATCAAGAAAAATCACGTACCGCATTATTGTGTGTGTATTTATCGGATTTTATAGTAAACGCAAAAGTATTTATTTATTATCGAGTGTATTTAATGTTCTGTAGTATTATTTTGGGACTTTTTAAAAGCTCAACATCTTTTACAGTCTTTTAACAGACTGTTAAGTATTTTTTCAAAGTATTTATTTATCCGAGGAACTTCAGATGATCAGAATAATTCAATAAAATTATACTGGAACAACACGATCGTAGGCCCATCGGAGCGTTAGAAAACGATCGTTTATACAACTTAGCTATTCCGGTAGCGAATACTATTTTAGCTTTATTTTCTTTAAGTTCTAAGTTTAGCAAACTAAGATGTATTTCGGTGAATCAACCTACACGCATTAAATATTTGATGTGGCGCTAAAACTTTTGTTTTTGTACTATAAAGCTCGATTCACACATATCAGTGAAGCCACAATTCCGTCACAGTGTCCGCTCAGTTCAGTATCAGTGCTACAGTGTTGCGTCAGTGAAATATTTTGAATATTTTAAAATGTCAGAGATCTGTTTCAATATTCTTGTTCAGAAACTATGAAGTAAGTTATTTAGTTTTTGATGCCGCGGCGTCGTCCGTGACCGTGATCCGATAAAAAATATCGTCGTCAACGAATACGTCCTTGATTGCCGGTGTCGGCACTGACACTGACAAGTGGGGATGCGTTCATAGAAACTGTATGAAAGAATATTTCGCACTGTGCCGGTACTGAGCCTGAACTGTGATTTCACTGATGTGTGAATCGGCCTTAAAGAGCAGTTTCGCAATAAGTGAATCCGTGAAAATAAATACGGTCCGGTGTGCGTGGTGCGATTTCTGTCAATCGATTTTTCCGCCAATTTGCTTGATCCGTATTTTGAGGCAATCTGATCGAACGTAGTACGAAACTTGTAATGCTATATAAGTAAATTCCGTGATCGAATTAGAGATGATTGGAGACGAAGGTCCTGGGTTCGAATCCCATAATAATATGGATGGGTCACTAGACTCCTAGACAATTTAATTTTTGATAGAGGACAGTAATGCCTGGTTAGGCATCTTTTAAAATTAAAGATTGTGTCGAGTTCGGGTTTTATACATGTATTTTTACAATATTACAATGCCAACATAATATACAATTTTATTAAAAATAATTACATAATTATTAAATAAACAAATTCTATAATACAGACACGGGGTAAAGCAAATTGTACTTTTGATGAGACAAAACACGACATAAAACATTATTATTTGACACATTTCTATTGGTTCAATTTTATGTGTATAATAAATAAAAAGAATATGTAAGTATTCTTCTAAAATGAATTTCATAATTTATTCTAGATTTACGGAAACCTAATTGAAACATAGAACTTTTGGTTTTTTGCAATAGGTGGCGTTGATCTTATGATCGAGGAACAAGCCCCTTTCACGCATTCCTTTCTCTCGTTTGGGAAATAAGCATCAAATTCCTTTTTCCGATTCTTAGAAATAGTATTCACATACACGGAAGTGATTCTATATCCTGGCACCTTTTTCCTAAATTGGATAAAATACAAGCGTCGAATATCTCGGTACTATAAAGTATTCCTATGATTTGAAAATTATAAATAACTTGAAAAAATCCTATTACTTGAAACTTGAATATTCCTATGATACTTGATTTCTACGGAAATTTGCGTGAACACGTATCACGTGATGAAATATTACTTGGAAAAAGCCTTGTGAAAAACACCTACACGTATAGGACGCGAATGTAGTAAAAATACAGCAGTTGGTAGTCGCTGAGTTTCTTGCACTGCTTCTCAGCTCTGTCCCAGTTTATTTTAATTTATTTGTTTGAAGTTGGGACATGTAAAAATGTTCTTTATAAGCGTAATCACTGAGAATCAATGCTTTTTATGGATTTATGATACACCAATTCATAAGTTAGTTGCGACTACAGGCGACTCCTAAAACTCGTTCAAACTAGCCTGAGATTAGTTAAAAATTAGACAAATGATAGGCTTGAATCTTCTTGACTAAAAGTATTTACATTAATATTACCAAATCCTTGACAAAATCCTTCCAATATCGCGACAGGACTTCCTTCATTTCACTTCCTTCAGTCATTCATTACATTTTTTTTTTATTATTATAAAACTGGATTATTATAACGGTAAACATTCCGAACTGTGTGGTCAAATAGCTACTGCCCAGGCTGTTAGATTGACAGATGTCAAATGACAGACAAGAAATTCAAATTCAAATGGGGAGGTCACTTTGTGACCAATATCCCAGATCTGGCCATAAATAAAGAACAGCGTTAATTTTGATACAAACAAGCATTTTTAAAGAATTAAAAAAAAACAGCGAAAAAGACGTTTTCAAAATACAGACACTTACGTAAGGAATATTCGGCTAATACTTTTTTTTAATTGTCACGAGTTAAATTTTTAAAGGGTTATAGGTATTTAAAATAGGAAATGTATAACGTAATTGTCTTCACATACGTGATTCAAGTCTACACTACACGTTTCTTAATTTATTATGACAAGTCACGTCAAATTAGTGTCATACCATGTATGACACCACTTTTATCAGGCACTCATGTGTAAAGGTCGTAGGTTCCGATGGTTTTGAAGGCAGCGTATGGAGCAGAATGTATAGCGTTCGTACTCGAAGGGACGCTTGGGCAAGCCTGAACCGCAAAGGAAGCATCGCTTTTCGGCTGCTTTTACCTGTGTAGATATAAAAAAGTTTGTTAGATTTTCTTAAGACAATAAGGAGACATTTTTTTAAATAACTTGAAATAATTAATCTGCCCGAAGTGCGGATAGTGGATACTTGTGGTACCGGGAATGCGAAGGGTCGTGGGTTCGATTCCCACTTTTATTCAGTCCGATTCTTTAAAGTTATTTAAAAAGAATAGATCGAGAGCCGACGCTTAACGCCAGCAAATTATAATAAATAAGGAGACATATTTGACCGATAATAACAAATAAATAATCCTTCGAAATTTTAATAGGCACTATCTAACTCCAACTTGAACTATGGGTATCAACCAGACGATTTTAACGAGAAAAAAAGCCTTCTTATCTGTGCATAATATAGTCATTTCTTATACACCGTGTTACTTTGCATTCTTGCCATATTCACAGAGATAAAAGTAGGGACCAATACCTGTTATTTAAGATAAACAAGAGACTCCCATAAAGAAAGTACACTGAGTTTTTAGTAAATTTGGTTTTGCAGTACAAATTGGAATAAACCAATTTTGTCTCGCACTTTCTACAGGTGCAAGTGGAATAAACCTAGTGGGCGTGGCCTAGTTCTTATTAATCTGTGATGTTTTATGGCTCTGGGTACCAGCCTTTTTATCCAGTCATAATAATTATTTTAAAATACTCTTCAGTTGATTTTAGATTTTCCTTTCTACTCTCAGTTTCTACTTAACGGGCTTAGGACCATCAAAAATACGTAATAATTATTAGGCTTTTAATTAACATAAAACATTGTTCCCTATTTTTACAAATTAATAAATTAAGTATGAAATGAAATCACCTTATTCACAATTAATTATTTATTTATGAGTTCCTACTTACAAAGTTTACGTACTGCGAAGCAAGTGTTCAAAGTGTACTGTCCTCCGTTCTGATGAAGGCACCACAGCCTAGCACGGCGAAGCGTAGGTATTTCGCTTTAGTTTTCGCAACACATAAACGTTTTGTCTCACAGTTTCGCTGAAGCAATCCTTTCACGTAACACGTTTACACTTTTTATCTCTTCTGCGCATACGTCCAATCCACTGTTCACCAAACGTATTATTCGCGCACTTGACGTCCTTATTGTGGGGGAGCACCATCCTGCTGGTAGTAGAGCATTTGGTGTAACGCTAAGGGTACGTCATCAAGCATTTCATTTAAGACGTCTTGCAGACACTCCAAGCACCATTTTGATTAAATTATTCGTTGTTTGAATACACTTCAGTCATTTTTGTATTATTTATAACGTGATTTGTGATTGATGGATTTCTGTTTTTTACAAAAGTGTCAAAAAGACATTTTAAAGACAATAGATTGTATGATATTTAAAAAATACAATAAAAAGTAAAAAGTCTCCATCGCCATCGCTAACATAAGTGATGTGCATGCGTTACGATAGTTAGTGATGTGTTTAACAAATTGTCGATAAAATAAAATATTCAAAATTAAAAATCAAAATTTTTGGGCATTATTTTTTAACGGATTTGTGTTCAGTATCAGTAATATAGTTACCTCTGTAAATATGGCAAGAATGCAAAGTAACACCCTGTAGAATAAAAGCTAGTGAACGCCATACGTAATTTTATAAAAGCTGAAAATTTGTCAGCGTATGCTCCCAAATATAAATGTTGGTGAATCATGAAGTTTGGGTCATCGTGGCTTTGGCAGTTATCCCAAAAAAACTGTTTGGCAAGGAGTTGGAACTGTCAAAACTGTCTGGCTGATGAGGAAACTACTTCTAATTATTGGCGTTCACCAGCTCTTTGTCTTAGAGATGGGTTATACTAGGTAAATTTGATAATATACTAGGTGCACCTATTCCAAGTATTTATTAATACTCGATCCAAATACCTATTCCACCTAGTACGTAGTAATTTAACATACGCGACTAGTGCGGACTAATCCACGTAATATTATTACGTGGATTAGTTCGCACTAGTCGCGTCAAGTATGACTTTAAAATACAATTTTCTTTGAAAAGATACAACCGTAGTATGAATAATGCAATTAGAAATTGAATAATAATGTTTTGCTGGCTGTTGATTGATTGATATCCTCCCTTCATACTTCAACAGGCTTAGTTGGCGTATTTAAAAAATATCAATTTCATAAAAATATAAATGGTTTGACTACGTTTGTGTGCGTTTGCTTCGTCGCGCTCAAATTTGTTTGGTCAGACAGAGACGGAGTGAATCTCTACGTTCGCACATAAGCTTAGCGAGAAATACTCGGTGCGCGTAATACACGACTACGGATTACGCAATAATAACCTCTATTACTTTGATGGTAGGGTCGGAAATCGTGTAATTTATAAAATACAAGGTGGATCAAGTATTTTAAAAATTGGAATATGTGCCGCCTAGTACTGTAAAATACCTAGTGTGTGGATCTGTTCTAGTAAATACGTCTCATCTCTACTTTGTCTATTAGTTTGAGCAAGCTAATTAAAAAAAAAACTTTTACCTTTTCCGCGTCAGTCATGAGTAAGAACTGGTTGGTCTTGATCTTCTCGATCTGCTTCTCTTTCTCACGCTGCCGCTTCGCTCGCTTCTGCTGCGCTTTCTTCTCTTTCTCTAGCTCTAGAAGTTCGGGCGTCACTGGGCCGGGGATGTGTGCCTGTAATGAGGTATTAGAATTACCCCCGTATTCACAAACATTACTATGATGTCTCACAGTGCGTGTGGACGCACAGGGTAATGGTGCGTCCACACTGGGCGAACGGGCTCGCGCGGCAAACTCGACATCCTGCTCACTCAAGAGCAGGGTGAGCAGGATGACCAGCGTGCTGCGCGAGCGCCTTCGCCCAGTGTGGACGCACCATAACACGAACCAATCACAGAGCTCTATTCAACGCTGTGCCTTCGATTTCCTGCTTCACTTAAGCAAGCATCGTTTGTGAATACGGGTGTTATAATACATTAAATACTCAACAACACAGCAGATAAAAATTATAAGCAAAATCGCTTTTATGACACCTACAACCCCCGCTAAGACCCCAAAGTATTTGGCTTGATGTTCCGTTTTCTGTACATAAAGAGGCAACATACTTAAAGCATGTGAAGCGATTAGAGATTTATATCAGAATCCCGTCATTTCGTATATTAGGAACACTTATGTGTGATAAAAATTTACATTTTTGCTTTTGGTTAATAATAATATGTGTTTGATCGCGAGATGCACAATTGACACATACGGGGGAGTATTTTATTTTTATCATTTGATTTTTAGCTAAAAATACACAAACGACAGCACAAACTAAGCACTAGTAACATCGGCAATAAGTGCTATTTTGCAACAAAAATGCAAAAGTCTTTGTGCTGTCGACATCCCCATTATTCCTGCTCACCTTAGAATAGTTGTATTTATCCGGGAACTGTCCCTGGAACATCCTGAACGCGATCCTGGTGTCGCTATGCGGCGTGGCTGCGTAAGGCGTTTGTAACTGATGGTTGCGGATGCAGGGGTCACCACCAGCAGTCAGGATTTGTCTGTGGAAAGTTATAGTTATTAGCTTGGCTTCTAAGTAACACTACAATCTGGGCCTTGAAGAAAAGAGTTAATAGGCTCTTACAGGGCAGTTTTGTACCATTATTGACTGCATCTCACTTAACATCAGGTGCGATTGCGTTCAAATACCTGCATTGTTCTGCATAAAAGTTGCTATTCTATGCATTGAACGCTAGTGTATTAGCTCTTCAGTTGGCAGCACTTTGTTACTCGCTATTGGCTAATGCTTCAACCACACCAACGCGTGCAGATCGCCATCGCCGGCGCGATCATAGTTTACCAGTGACAGGTTGCGCGAACTGTCAGGCCTCAGCCTCGAGTTTAGCGGGCAGCGGGGCGGGAGCGACGGCGGCGCGGGAGCGGCGGCGGCGCGGGAGCGGCAGGATCTTATGCGTAAAATCAAATAGACCGGTTCTCGAAAACAGCGGCGCGGGAGCGGGCAACGAGCGGGCAGCGCACTCCTTCTTTTGCTCACAATAAATCGAGCGTTAGGAATAAATTTGAATCGAAATAAAATTGTCGCCGTTGTTCAGACATTTCGTTTGCGAATAAAAACAAATATCTCGACAACACAACCCCGAACACAACACTTCGCCGCTAAAGCGCCGCGCGAGCTGCCCGCTTGTTTCGAGCACGGGTCTGCGTTGCCCGCATAGGTACCCTGTGTACACATCTTCGACCAAAGATAATATCCAGCTTACAGCGGAAACGCGAAATTGCTCTGGAATCAATGAAGTTAGGATATACCGACGTCTTCAAAACTGAAATAAGTACTAGGAGGTCTTCTCGAATGACCTAAACATAAGAATATCAACAACATTAGATAAGAATTAAATATTCTCAGATAGTGCATCCGTACTGCAAGCGCTACAAAGCAATACATTGTCATAATGTTATCAAATTGTGTTTCATGAAATGTATAGAAATAGGCTATTGATGAAACTTTTGTCCGTGACGTGAGACAGATTATAACATTTGTTGAGACCAAAAGCTAGTTAGCAGTCGATCGTAACAGAATATTACTTGTTTATTGCTTTACGAATTTGATAATGATAACACAGCCAAAAAATATTTCACCTAGTTACCTACCTATATGAATAATTTGTAATATTATTTGTACCTATGATTTACCAATGGCATTATAATAAACACGATACAATAATTAATTATAGTCTTTCAATTAAAGAAACTTTCAATATTAAATCAATCCATAATTCATTTATCTCGTTAGGTTCATTCATTCATTCATTTACATAACTATCGATAAAAATTTACGATCTTTTCCCAGCACTAAATGTCATTATTTGACAATTGTCAAACCTCTCCCCCCGCAAAAAGTGGTTGATCGTGTTTCCTTAGAAATCTTGTAGGTTTCGTGTCCAGTGGTTTATTCGTCCAAGCCGCCCCGCACCCGCGCCGCCGCCGCTCCCGCTAAGCTCGAGGCTGAGGCCTCATGGATCGCGCGACCTGTCATTAGCCTATATCGCGCCAGCGATGCGATCTGCACGCGTTGGTGTGGTTAAAACTAAAGACAATGGCGCCAACTTGTGAACACTAAAAGCAGGTAGACTCGATTTTGTACACACTAGAGCGCCTAAACAGTTTTGATGACTTTATTAGCACACTATTGTATGAGACGACAAATAGTGTAAAAAAATTGGAACTTCATGCGAACGAAGCGTGTATGTTGCAGAATGTATTTTCGAATACTCACGTAACCATATCAGGTTTTTCTGCAATGGCAGCTTTATGTAGCGCAGTGTTGCCATCATTAGGGTCTTGCGTGTTGCACGCCGCTTCTAGATCCGCACTTTCCCAGCCTTCAAAGATAGTTTCCAGCGATGTCATCTCGTTGCCAGATATCAACTTCCACATCTGGAAAATAGACATAATTTACAATGTTATTGGTGGATTAAAATAGTGCTTTCACACCTTTGTTACTTTTTTTCTAGTGATAATTTAGGCTGTGGCGATAATAGACAAAACTAGTTTTAGTTAAAACGGCCATAAACGACTGTTTTCGTGTTTAGAAAATGGAGTCAACAAGTCAAGTTTAGGCTAATATTTGTGCTATCATTGAAAAAATGAAAATGTTTTAACATATTGTTGCAAGTGTCTGGGGTCTCCTTTTAAGTATAATACCTGTGTTAGGAGGCCCCACTCTTTCTTAAAGTTACAAAGATACATATTATGTTAAACAAGCCACAAAAACTCACAAGTACGTATTACTTACTCATTAAANAACCTTGCAATGTAGATGTGATAAGAGCTATTTTTCAACAAAATTAAGGTCTGAAAATGTCTAGTCTAACGTGCTGTACAGTATACTAATAACACGTCTTTGTTGCAACTGGAATAAGGTTGTGTTGTCAACTGTTTAACCACTTTGGGTGTCACGAACTATCTGACGCTGACTGTACTACAAATCTACACACACATAGTAAACAGATTGTATGTACATATTCCTGGATACTCTGATTTGATTATGAAACAAACTAGTTTAGCTAGCTGTAATTGTCCTGGATATTTCGATTTGATTTGATAGAAATAGAACCGTGTAAATTCCCGAAATAAAGTTAGCTATTCTATTCAAAGACAAAGGAAATAGAAATTGACATTACTCCAGCGTCAGCTAAGTGCTCCTAAAATGTGCAAATGCCGAAGCGTTTACCAATCCGTTTTATTCAGAGCTTAATGTACTCGATCACAGTCCCCAACATACCTGCAAAAAAAGAAAATGTGATGAGATATGTATAGGTTAAAGATCAACTTGTAATTTTATCAATAACTCTAAATTGTTACCATTTTCACACGCACATAGTAAGTAATTAACTTAGGAGACATGTAAGTAAAAGTACATAAACATACAGTCGATACGCATCATACTGTATCTACTTTTTTGTGACATATTTGTGGCAAGTTAGCTTAAAATGCCGTAGCTGTACATCATGCCATAGTATAAATTATTTGAGATTTTAGCCACGCACGCAAAGCGGCGGTTGTCCAAAGGATTAATTTAATTAATTGCGTTAATTATACATTTAAAACGTGACATTTCATAATTTTTGGAACTCAACTAATATCATTAAACCTTTAAATTCAAAAGGTATTTCTCGAAGCGCACCCTAATAAAGCGCACCTATGTTGAATAATATAAAGATTTTGAGCTTTATGATTACTAATATGAATATAAAGCACAACATAAATATAACATAGGTGCGCTTCGAGGAATAGTTTAGGTGCGCTTCATTAGGTGCGCCTCAAAATGGGTGCGCTTCGAAACTACCTCAAATTTAATTGGCACAGCCTAAGCCCTCATGATGGAGCACATATTGATCGCTGTCTGTTTCTGCAACCCCGACTTGGCATCCAAAGGGGCAATATATCTTGTTTCCTATTGATATAGGGGATCTGGGGAACCATTAGTTTATCCGCTAGCCTACATTACGGTGACNGTGTTTGCTTCGCGCTCGACTTGGCGGGGGCACTGCCGTGCCCCCAGATATTGTGTGTTTTTTTCCGAAAGTAACAATTGCAAACGCCAATGTTTGTATACTTAATTGTAATTTATGTCATCCCGAGTCTCTTATTTAACCAATCACCTTTTTTATGAGCAAAAACGTCGTAAACCTGCCTAAAAATGTTATAAAATTTCAAATTACAATTAATTTCACTGCCAAAATGTTAAACATAAAACGTCGGCCCCGCACATTGGATCCTTATTTATGTCAGGCGCAGCGCGGCAAAGTGACCGCCAAGATGCATGCGCCACAAGTGGGTGTACTCTACAAAACTAATTCTATACTAACAAATACGTCCATCTCTCTCACACATGGCAACATCTTCCAGTTAATGGTAGAGAGGGTTGGGGTCGAACTTATCCAAATCTGTTTGCAGAGTAAGACCTCTTGCTTTTAACCGGATCGAGGTCGCGCGGCCGTCGAACCCCTCCGAATAGTCTTAGTTCTAAGTAGATAGCTTCTTTTGGGAAACGACACTTTATTTGTCACTGTGCAAATATGTATTAGTATTAATTTGTTGGTAGTACAAACCTACTTTTGGGTAGGCTAGGTATACAGAGAAACTGAAAGTAACTCGACTATTAGTATAACCACCAAACTTTTAAAGCACATGTTCTACTTATAGGACATCATAATCCAAAATTGGCCAAGGAAAGTTTATTGCTTTGCATGCGTACTATGTTGGTTCACAAATCTGCCTAGCGGCGCGGCAGACTCAAGGCCCGCCAACGCACCCAGCTAATTGCCAAGCCTTTGTCTCGCCCTGCTCTTGGCTCGTGGCATTTGGCACTTGGCAGTTGGCACTTGGCACGGCCGCCGCCGCACTCCTCGTACTGTCGTGTTGCTCTAGATCCCGTTGCGGTATTTTTTTGGGATTTCGTTTGTTTAATTCCACTAAACACAAACGAGAGGCAATATAAACACCCCCATGTGGTGGAAGTAATATCTTGTTAGGATAAATACCTATCACGGTATTGTAATTTATTCGCTATGAAACTTAATTTACTAGTTAATTAATTCTCAGTAAGTATAGCTAGATAATTAAACATCTCGAGATACTTCAGTAAAAGGAAGCTGGAGCGAAAAACGCTGATTGCAAACAGTAGTAGTTTCTTTCCAATTACTTAAGAAATCGATTACTAATACAATCTAATTAAGGAAACTCTCTTAAGAAAAACAAAAGTGCCGATAAACCAGGTTCAAGAACGGCTTAGCTATAATATGGCGTTAGCCACTCAACACAATTGCCATTACCCTAATAAGCGACTAATTATTTACAATATCGGTAAGCTTAGATCAAGATACCAAAGATGTTTTTTTAATTACACAGTGAGTTTATCCAACATTTTCGATTATACCTAAATCTGCGTATATTTTTATCTTGGTTAATCCTAAACAACATACACCTGACCGACCACGGCCCTTTACAGTTGCGACAACGATCAGTCCTCCGAGGTTACAATTGGAACGTTTATGGCCCAGACTGACGTGAAAAGGTCTAACTACAGAGTCCGTTACTCCGCCTGGGACCGGCGAGGTTGCCTGTAAAAGGCACTGCGCAAAACAATATCACGTTTTTCGGAAGTAGGGCACAAATAGTGAAGTCTAGGTACCTATTTTGGGACGCCGTTGTAAAAGAGGTAGTTTCACATGGTCTCTTCCTTTCGACACTGTTCTATCTACGTCAGCTTACTACATTCTTTATTGATCACATTGTTTTACGTTCTAAAAGGAACCCTTATGCAAAATTTGAGACTTCTAGCCTTCTAGTACTTGTAGTTTCTGAGATTTCGTGATGAGTGAGTCAGTCAAAGTGACCTTTCGCTTTTATAGAAAGTAAGTTTAAAGTGTGTCATTAATTTTTGTGCCATTCTTGTGATTCAAGCACAAACTTGTCATTTTAGACAGATAAGATTTTTTGTTAGCACACTTGCCTGTATCTCTTAAAAATGTCAAGAGCAGGGCAGGGTTCTTGAAATCAGAGGTGGAATTGTGTAAAGCAATCGTAATCATTTGACAGTTCATAACGTACGATTATTCTGTCAAACGCTTTGTTTAACTGACTTTATCGTACGTTATGAACTGTCAAATGATTACGATTGCTTTACACAATTCCACCTCAGAATAAGGTAAAGCGCCGAAACCAGTAAATGTACAATGAATGCAATAAAACACTGGGCAAAAACAGTTTGCGCATCGCTAACACCGTTTCCCGGAAGCAGGAAAATAAGATTTTCATGTAAGCATGTTTGTGTTACGAATTCGTGATATTTGAGACGCTCCCTGGGAATTGCTTGTTCAATTTCGTCATGTTTTATGTGGTAAGCGAATACTTTTCTGATATAAGATGACAGTGAAAATGATTATTATGGACACATAAGGCAATGAAGTTCTTGGCATTATTATTTATTTCAACATAGATTTCGTCTTCGAGAAACGAGTATTATTATTAATGTTCAATATACTTAATAAACAAAAATTGTTTATTAAGATTTGTTTTTTTTGCAAATGTTTAAACGTAGTAGTAGTAAAAGTTTATTAAATTAAATTGAGCTAAAGTTAAGTACGAGTAGACTATCCTACATGTAGTTAAAAACATTTTAACGTTTAAAATATGTGTGTCAAATGCCCTTATGAACCAGCACTTGAAAAACTACATTTCAGAAAAAATTCTGTCCCTAAACACAGACACAGACCGCCATCAGGCGGCACATCTCCCGCCCGCCCAACGAAGCCGTACGCGGCGCGTGGGCAAACCGGATTACACTTGCCTGAAATAGAGCGGCCTAATGCCTGCTCGCACGTCAAATTACCATCAATTCTTTATCCTTTCGGCGATAATGAGGTTAGCCGCTTGGTTAGCATAGGGCAAGGCGGTTTTATTTTATAGGAGCCCATGAATGCGCACTTTAGCGTGTAAGAAAGTTACTAACGTATGAGTACTGTTACAAAATATATTGACGTAACGTTCACTGGTTCAAGTTGCAGCTCTCGACTTCGTAGTGCTGGCGATTTCTTACGAAGTTGCTATTTTCTTATAACTTAAGTACCAACCAACATCCGAATATCAATATGTCTGTGTATTCGCCCATATGTACCTAATATTTTTTCAAGTGTGACGTCGTCGCGCACCCCGATGTGCCACTATCTATTTAACTTATTATGATAAGTACGGATACGGTGAATTATTATGTGCTGCTTTTATTGGAATCTAGTTTTATTTACTAAAACTAGATCATCCATTAAGAAAGCATACTCCAACACGTGCACAGAACTAGACACGGGTCTGGTATAATGCCTCCCTCAAAACTCAACGTCCCTATTTCCCGTTATATTCGAATCTAGGCCGA